AAGTTGTTGGATTCTGGGGAACTTGAGACAGGTAGATAACTTAATCAATGTCGTAGTTTGAAATGAGTTGGAGCCACTCATTGGGGATCTTACTTTGCCTCTATTACAAGTTTGATGAGTTTATTTAAAGAGACTAAAATACTTCTCCAGGAAATCAGTGATTATGGACCTAACCAACAATTTCGTGGCGATGCAAAGAATAACTATATTGCTATGATGTCTTTTGAGTTTGTGTTTTCATTTCTTTTGATAGATAAAGTTATGGGATTGACCAACTTTCTTTGTCAAGTGTTTCAGACAAAAACTCATGATATTGTAAGTTCTTTAAACTTTGTTGAAAACATAAAATCACAGTTCTAAGATATGAGGGCACATGACTGAAATAATTTATTCATGAGTGTGGTATCAGTTTCTGAACAACATGGTATTGATGTTCCTGATATGAGTTTCGTTATATAATGGGCACACATCATTTTTGTCAACAAAAAGATTTTATTACAGTTGAATATTACTATCGCGTTGATGTATTTAATAATGTGATAGATTGCATGTTGAGGGAGTTAAATGACAGATTTCCAGAACAAATAGTTGGACTTCTTATTCTTAGCTCAACATTAGATCCTTGTAATTCCTTCAAATTATTCAATATTGGGCATCTATGTAAACTTGCTGAGAAATTCTATCATGCTGATTTCAGCCCAAGTGACTTGAAAGCTTTAGAAATTGAGTTGAGGTATTTTCAAAATGATATGCATCGTCTTCCCTGCTTTAAGGACCTCACCACTCTTCCTCAGTTATGTCAACAATTGGTGAAAACAACTTTGGCAGAAAACTACCATTTGCTTTACAGGTTGATTCAGTTAGTGTTGACTCTTCCTGTTTTTACAGCAACAACGGAACAAGTTTTTTCATGTGTGAGAATTATTAAGAATAGACTTTAGAGCATCATAGCTGATGAATTCCTTGTTGATTGCATGATTATTCTCCATATTGAAAGAGAGTTTGCTAATAATATCGATAATGAAGATATAATTGAGGAATTTAAGATTTCTAAGCCTTGTAGGGTAACATTTAAAATTTAAATAGTTTAGTTTTGTGTTGCATTGCATTTACTTCTTATTTTTTTGTTAAGTTTTTATTTATGTATAGATATGCATATTTGAGGGTAAGGCTCATTACGTCGCCTCTGACTAGGTGTATCTTTTTATTTTTATGAATAAAATTCACTCGTACCGTTAAGTTTTTAAGGTAAGTTTCGCCTACTTGACTTTTGAATCTTGGATTCGCCATTGTCAGAATCCTGTAAGAGAGCCAAAAAAGTTGCAGAGAAGGTGGTTGATGAAATGTGGAAGAGAAGACTTGCCTCTAACAATTAAGTCCTATTTCTGGTTCACACATTCTGCAAAGCCCTTTTTCTTCTTTATAAGTTTCTGAATATTAAGTCTTTTTCATGAGATGTCTTCAGGCTTGGAATTTACTGGGTGCTCCTGTTGAAGAATGGACAGTTGGTGGAATTGCATTGATTTGACTTCATAAAGGATGTCAAGAGGAGACAAGTTATGAAGAAATTAATCATTCACTGTTCTTATTAATGCAGTTGCAGGGTCATAAGTTCAATCTGTACTGTACACGGATGGCACGCTTGCATACGGCCATAAATTCAAGGAGCACGCCAATGAGTTGCTGCAGTTCCTGCGACCGCAACCTTGTTGCAGGCTCACCAGACAGGAAAGCAGTGCACACACTCGGTACCCCGTTGTTAACCTGCAAATAGAAAGTAGAGAAATCTGATCAGTTATATATAGAGATATAATTTGAACGGAGTAAGCAACTGATACAGTATTGGTTCAGAAAAACGGAGTTTTGAGAACAAAGTTCAACCTGAACTGCAACACTGACTTGAAGAATTCCCTGTAGGGTCTGGAAACGTGGGAGTTGATCCCCTTTCAGAACTGCAAGGCTCTTCAAGTTCATTTCGTAAAGGAGCTGTCCGACTTTCAATCATTCCCAATGGCATTTTCTACCGGGGGAACTCAAGTAATTCCGATTTGGTAACCAAAAGCCTGTTCACGAGACCTAGGAATGAACCTGAAGATTCCACTGGTCTTCCAATCCACCTTGAGTCTTTCCATTTTTCGTAAATGGGGTATCAAACAAGAAACGCTCAAAGACTCGTGCACAAACACTACCAGTGGAAAGAGAAAAGATTCTCTCCCTTCTGCTTCCCAAATCTTCGTCTTCCATGACTGAATCAACAACAGTCATCTGCAGGTAGCAGACACCAGGCTGCAATTCATCTGCCTTTACCTGCCTAGAATCTGGAACAAGTTCCAGAATGCTTGCACAAAAATGAAACAGCTCATCTTGAGGAAATAGCTTATTTCCGAGTTGTAGGTACTTCACAGCAGAGTCAACAGTAAGTTTTGATGCACCATATCCTTCTACCTACCTCAGCGGCAGAAGTCTCAGAGCAGATCTCATTGCTGATCATTGGACAAATTTTACTTAGAGCAGTTAATGTGATCTTTAGAGAATAAAAATAGGCTACTAGCTAAAAGTAAACTAGTGGCAACTGTTTTACATCTCAAGTACTGCAGAGAGAGAAAAGATTGGTATAATTTTTTTTTGGTCGAAACACACTTTCATTGAAAGGGAAAGGACAAACCATACACTGCAGCCAAACAAACGACCCAAAGAACAACAGCAAAGCAAAGTACCAGGCCAAACCAGCCAATCCAGAAAAAGAGACACTAAGTTCCAGCTAGGACAAAACACACTAGGACGCCACCCCAGAAGGCAAGCGTCAGATCCTAACTAGACAAAAAAACATTACACTTGTGGAGGACAAGGAAGACCATCGTTATGGGAAGACCATCGTTATGGAGCACGAAAACCAGGGAGGATGGGGGTCGACTGATCCAGACCTCATCGCACATCTTCCTCTTCGCTTCTAAAGCTGCAGCATCCGCTGCTCTGTTTGCTTTCCTTGGAATCCACTTCCAGCTGCAAGAGCCAAACAGTCTACTCTTCTCCCTTAAAGCAGCAAGGATTGGGTAGATTGTCCATTTACCTTTTTGAAAACAACCACTAACACTTTGAACCAGCTCCTTTGAATCAGACTCACACTCAAGGTGGATACAACCCAAATCTGAGGCAACCTCAAGACCATGTAAAGCTACAAAAGCTTCAGCTTCAATAGGAGAAGGGGCTAGTCTAAACTTTCCCGCTCCCCTAATAAAAGCACCATGCTCATCACGAATGACCGCTCCAAGACCTATGAATAAAGTCTTCTTTTCCCAGGACGCATCCACATTTAGCTTAAGAGTAGCTTGGGGGGGAGGGAGCCACCTCTGAATAGATTCGGACCCCCGCGAGCTAGGTTCCTCCGCACCATGCCTATGTAGCTTGACAACCTCCAGTAGTTCTACTGCTAGAGTTCTGCCCCAAGCAATTGTTTGTTTTGGGCACACATTTTTTCCTTCAAATACAAAGGCACACCTGCTTCTCCATAGACTCCAGCATAAAAAGCTGATGTGAAACCACACCCAATTAAAATTTTCCTTATCCAACTTAGTAATCACTCCAAGCAGCCACTCATCGATAGTGGTGATACTTTGCCTATCAACCCGATAGCATAGCACACTTCCAAACCAGACACTTGCGGTCCAATTACAGAAAAACAGTAAATGCTCAATTGTTTCCAGCTCATTTTCACAAACCGGGCACAATGGGGATAAGCCCAAATGCCTACGAAAAAGGAGAGCCCTTGTAGGAAGACACCCTTTGACTGCACGCCACAAAAAGTTTTTGATTTTTGGGGTTAGAGGGGAACACCAAATGAGCTTCCACACCTTCTGAGAAACAAAGTGAGATCCCGAGGCTTTCAAAAGCTTTTGAGAAGGACTGTGGTCCCGAGGCTTTCAAAAGATTGGTATAATTATGCATCAAGCTATACACGGAAAGTAATTTCAATTTTACATCAGCTCTTCTCATAACTCAGAATAGCCAAAATCTAGCAATTGCTTTCGAGTTTTCAACATAACTGCTGCCACATTGGCAGTTAGCGGGGTTTTGACTACAATTAACCCGGTACACATACACGCCCACCATTCTGATAAATTATTGACTTTTTCAACTTTCACATTCCAATTGACTAAAATCATAAATCTCAATTTAAAATTACCCAACCAAAATGGAAAAAAAAAGTCCAAGAATTTGTCCAAATTACACTAGTGTCAGACCCTAAACACATTTAGTCCTTCACAATCTTTTGAACTACAACTAAGAACAAAGTATGTAGAAGAAGGTAACAAAAACCAAGAAAATATGTCAAAATGGAGAGGGCAGAGAGAAAATTATGGTTTCGGAAATATCGGTAGTCCAAAAACACGGAAATTTCAATAGACATATCGGAAAATTATCGATATCGATAGTACTGGTGAGACCAGTTTATACTGAAAATATAATATTAATAAAATATACACATATTATAACATAGGTGAATTAGTAATACAACGTGATGGTGTTCCCATCATCTAAAGACCTCAAAACAAGTTGCTTTCTTATCTCTTAAAGAAAAAAAATCTTTTATTTCGATCCATCCATACTCCTACGTCACCTGAGCTGCTCCAAGAAATTGGGTCTTCATGTTGTTTGGCACCAGACTACTACATTGAGAAGTTTTTTCTTATTCTACAGTTAGGAATATTTTATTAAAAAAAGTTATGATTCAATGAGAATTGAGAACCAATATGAAATATATTGACTTATTATTATTATTATCTATAGGTTTGTTAAAGGATTACATGAGTACGTGTAGAATCAAATGATTGTCCAAAAAGTACAGAAACATTCATTATCTGGATTCTTGTTTTGTCATAATGGTATAAAAGGAATGCAGGAAACACCAAAACAAACCCAAAAGTTTTAGAACCCATCATTTCTAGACCCACGTGGTATTAGGGAGATCCACTTTATATATACCACAGTAATTACATAAGTGAAATTTTAACTGCCACAGGCACAACTGAGGAACTTGATTGAAACCAAGAAGAATAACTGTAATTCAATCAATCCCTTTTTTATTTTTATTTCTGTAGGAATGATTACTTAATCACTGTTGATTTTGTATACATAAGTACATGTTCGAGATAATGAACATCGTTTATAGGTATAATGTCATTTGCTGATCTGATAATGAGAATGCCTTGGCCACCAAATGCTTCTCAAAGTTTAGGAACGATAATTTGTAGGAAACCATCCCTGCACCAGTAAAACCTATCAGAATCAGTTTCTTGTGCATAAAGTCAAAAAAAAAGTAAAAAAAACAAACATTAGAATAACTACTACATGAATTTACAATCAGTTGAAGACTCCATGATCTGCATGCATGCTAAAATCATGCCAATATACAAGAAAGCTTCTTGAGGCCATTGATTTGGAAAACATAAAATGCAACAAAAATGTTTTGCAGATCCTCATATGTATTGAACATTTGAAATCATATAAATCTGCACATTGTTTTATTGACTGGAGGGAGGGGGGAGTTTTAGATGCATGAGTGGGGCAGTGTTTGATTGTCATATGTAATATCCGAATCTAAGGGTCGTTTTGAGAGCCGTTAAAACGCCTGAGTATTTCAAACTCCATGGCTAGTGTATGAAGTACTAATCCCTTAAAGCCAGAAAAAACATACATAGCAATTCATATGAATGTGGTCACAACATGGAAATATAAGCCTAATATTTCGACATTTGATATCTATCGACAGAAGACATACTGAAAGTAAGTTCTTAAAGGCTCCCCAAGGCAGAGAGTTCAATTAGAACTTTCCATATTGAACTACTGGTTGACATATCACTAGCATGTAAGAGGAGGTGCCTCTTGGAGTATTAAATATTGCTGATGCAATACAAAAGTCCACTTGTCTCGAACAGCATTTTATGATTTTTCTAGTAAGCCTGAACTTCTTGTTACAAATCTAATTTAATAGACCAGACTAAAGAAAAAGTTTTCCATTGAGGGATAACCAGTGCAGCGCATCGAGAAGCAAAAGCATAAAATAAAGAAGGAAATCAAGGAATACGGTTGAATGAAATTCTGACTTACAAAAAATCAGCAGAGACACTGTCCTTGTTCACATTAGGAGGAAGCGGCCACACAACCTCATAAGGCCCTTGTGAAATCTCTCTTTTATGGTATGTAGGAACAGAATCATTTGAACAACCTGCCACTTTCCAGAACCAGGTGGAGCGTTTACCTTTTACAGTCAACCTGCCACAAATTGGCACTGAGATCAGCTACAATATTCAATTCAAACTTCTAGTGAAATTGTTCAAGGCATCTTACTTTTGATCATCGATCTCCACTCTAATATCTTTGATATTGACACCTGGAATTTCAACTGTTATAACATAGTTGCATTCTGATTCTGCAATATCCATTCTCGGGGACCACTCAATTCCTGCGCCAAAATCAAGAACAAAAAGTTCCAAAAGACTTCTCTAATTCTTGCTTCTTTTTAAGATATAACTCTCCCCCTCCCCTAAAATTCACACCAAAGATATTGCAAGACTGGTTCTTTACAAGCCGCCATACACTGATAAGTGCAAAAATATCTAATGCTTTAAAGAAGATTCTTCCTAGTCTTTAAATCATATTCAATATCAAGACTTGTTCTTTGATATTTGCATGTTGCTACAGGGTTGTATTAGTGAATTGATCAGTACATCACAAGTTCATTTATTCGGACATCAAACTACTAACCATTTGGTTCGGCAGAGTGTACTTTCTTCTTGGAATATAGATGTTTCTCTCCACTTACTGTTCTGCTTGGTCTGGCAAACTTAGGCTCGGGAGCAGTTAATACGCTACCTTGCGCCAGGTTTTGGATCATTTCTGTAGTTGGTAAGTTTGGTCCTATCCTCGAAGGTTGAGAGAACAACGGAGCTTCAGAAGTATTGTAAAAGCTTTCATTTGCAGTAACCTGCCAAAATGTTTTAAAATCAAAGACTGCAACACTGAATCATTACCTAGAGACCTTTATAGACATATGTAATCGAGTGTAGCAAAATACAAGCACCTCTTTAATCGAAGCCTGCCTCATGAACCTAGTTTGAGAAGCAGATGCTTGCCGCGCAAAATACATTTTATTGTCCCGCCTAGCCACAGAGTTTAAACTACTGCTGCAGTTCTGAGACAAAGAAGACAAGTGGACTGATCATTCAAGCCAACTGAAATTTGCAGGAGAAAACAAAAGGAAATGAACTTTTCAGGAAAAGAAAAACGTGTTCTGCAGTTGTCTATCTCTTGAGCATTTGGAAATCCAGATTGATTCTAACCTCTAGGTCTTCCTTCCAAACACAATTCCCTTACACCCTCCTTTTGCCTAGTTGTCCACTAGCTACTGTGTGTACTTATGAAAATCAGCTTTGTGATAAAACCACACATTTCTTATATATGATGTTTAATTTCAAATGCTAAATAGAATTTTTGTAATGTTTCTGTTGCTTAATTATGAAATTCATGCTCATTTGAATTTACCCATTGATTTGCTTTACTTTTGATTGCGAATAAAATACCATACATAAAAAATAATACTATTCAAACAGTTAGTGTCACAACTAATTTACAAGTTTCCCACCAAAAAGAGAACTAACTTCTAAATTTATATACGTACAACGGTACAAGAAACGAAGAAATGCCCATCAACCCAAATCATGACAAGCCAATTGGTGGAATTAGTTCCTGCCGTTTTCTTATTAGATTTTCCCAGGAACCAAACAGAGGGTTGGCCAAGAAACGTGGAAAACTTACCATGGGGAGTACGTGAGTTGCAGATACATCATCAATGGGTGCGAAGTGAGCAGCGATTGTGCTGATTCTGCGCCTTGCAGTTTGAGCCTCCATTGTTGTAGCCTCAGCTCTTGAACTTTGCTAAACTTTGTGGCGAATAAATTTGGCCGAGGAGATGAATGAATATCAAGTGACTGAGTGAGTCGAAGTCAGATATTCTTGGAGGAAGGGATAACAGGTGGGGTCCTTCAACAAAGATTCATTAGATGCCACGTGGCAGAAGATGCAAAAAAATCATATTCTCAGATTTTTTTTTTATGCTTGATCAGAAACAGACGAGAAGATTTTTCATTTTGTGTAGGACAAAGGAAGGATTTGATACGACTCCTCGCCGGTATGTGCTAGGGTTTTTATTTTTCTCTTTGTAATTTCGATTACTCAAAAATATATTTTTTTTTCCTTAAGGATTTTACATACTGAAAAGTGTTTTACATACTGAAAAATATATATATATCTCATGTCAAAAGACCCCAAAAAAAGAAAAAAAGAAGAAGAAAGAATTAGACGCGTTAAAGTATCGTATACAAATTGATGTTATGTAGTTGTAGTCTAAGAAACTAGTTAAAGTATCTTGTACAAATTGATCACGATTCACCAACAATGCCTCATCCACTTCCAATCTAGTTGATCACATGAATCATATTTAAAAAAAAAAAAAAACAACCCGGCGTTCCTCAATATGTTCCATCTTCCAACTTATGTCTGTCTCTGGTCCAATCTTGGTTCTTGTGTAATTTGACCCACCATCCCTTCACCATATTCTTTTCAGCCTCACTGGTACTGCATACATCACCCAATGATTTCTTCTGTTTGCAAAACACATACATCCATGGGCGGAGAATCCTTTTATTAGATACTCTAATGTTCATCCTAAATATTTAAAAGCCTTGAATAGCCAAAATCTCCAATGAGTTGTGAGCACATGTTGAGATCCAATGATTGCAAACGTATACTGGATATTATATATCTTTATCCTTTATGGCTTGCTCTTGTTCTAAACTTAATTTGGTTGATTTCTAGGCCTATTTCTTTGCTTCTCCTCTTTTCACTCCTATGGACCAATGCTGGATATCCTCTATATGTTATCTGATGTTTGGATTATTCAGTTTCTAACAAGACCTGCTGGTCATTTTGATTGAATTGGTTTGTTTGCCAGTTTTACTTCCCAAGCTCACGAGTCTTACAATCCACCCCTTTTGGGGCCAGCGTCAAACTAATGCTATCTTGCCCAAAAGGCCTCTCTTTGGTGCCGGCGATGGTGCATTTTCATCCGACTTACCATTTTCGCTCTTTGTCATCAGTGTGTTTTCTTTAATGTGCTTCGGCTTTCTCCCATATTGTGCGTAAAGTAGCATGGTTCTTCAAATTTGACTAGCTCCTTTGCCGTTTCAACCGTTTTTGAAACTCTGTACTCCTTCATAAAGTAACGTCCTAAGGCCAATGATCAGTTTATTCTTGTCATGCCCTTCAAGAATGGCAAAATCCTCCTGGTGAATTTTGATGCCAAAATCCTCCTTGTGGTTGTTTTTCCTAAGGGATCAGATTTCCTTTCATCTTTCTTGGGGCCCAGCGTCCTTGCTCACACATTTATGGTCGAGGTACAACTTTGATACCATTCTATCATGACCCAACTCTACTGGCAAGATATTGTCCGCTTTGGGTCTCCCTCTCACAGTTTTATTTTTTGGCTCAAACTAGTGTTATCTTGCCCAAAATACCTCTTTTTAGTACTGGTAATGGTGCATTTTCGTCCTACTTCCCATTTTCGCTCTTTGTTGTCGGTGGCCCTAACATTATATTTATCTGTTTAATGTCTTCTTTAATGTGCTTCAGCTTTTCTCCAATATTGTGTGTAAAGCAGCATGGTTCTTCAAATTTGACTATCTCTTTAGTCGTTTCAACTGTTTTTGAAACTCTGTACTCCTTCATAGAGTAACCGATTCCCCCGACCATGATAGCCACCTCCCAGGCACTAAAAAAAATCCCATAGTCCTAAGGCCATTGATAAGTTTATTCTTGTCTATGGGCCTTTCAAGAATGGCAAAATCCTCCGGGTAAATTTTGATGTTTGTGGTTATGTTTCTGATTTCTTTTCATGTACATCTTATATAGGATTTTCTTGTCCCCATTTAAGTAATTTTGTCCTCGTGGTTACAATCAATCAAACATACAAAGTTTATATATAATTTCTCAAAACAGTGAGCTCTTTC